TCACTGATATCTGTTATTATGTTTCATGTCGAATGAATTATGAATATTTGGATTTTAATTCTTTGAAACCTCAATTTTTTTTAATACCACATTCAAGATTTTTTGAGCTACCTTAATGAGTGAGAGACATAAGCTCTTGAGAATAATTATCATTTTATTTCTGAGTCTACTTATTATGGGTTAAAAGTTACTTTAAAAGCTACATTGGAAATATTTGAATTTTTAACTAGCCAGTGTAAGTTCAGCTACTTAATGACTGCTCGGTTAAATAAAGATTCGTTAGAGCTATTAAAAGAATTAATTTTATTATAACTTATGTTTGAATTGTGACATTAAAATTGAAAGTGTTTATTATTTTTTAGAAATTCTTTGGCATCATGCGAAATGCTTGTGGATCTAACGATCATCCCTAACCCCAACACTTTCTTTCAGGCTTTTCGCTTAGTGGGTACGTATTCCCTAATAAAGCCTCAGAAAATTTCGAATGTGTCTAGAACTGAGTTGTTAGAGACACTGGTTGATTGCAGTACTAGACATTCCAGCGACAATAAGAAGATATTGTTCGAGGAGAAACTGGATGCAGTAATAGATAAGTGTCTAGATATTAATCAATTTTGTTTAAATTTGCTAGAAGAATGTGACCACAATTATACATTCGCCTTAAGTTCAAGCGATGTTGTTGTAGGTTACATTGCTAGGCGTGCATCCAAATTGTTCACTTTGATTATGGTGGTCTTGTAACACCTTCTAAAAGTGTTTTTGTGTTTGTTCAAACCCTTGAATCACAAGTGATGAATGTTTTGAAATCAAATGGTGTTAATGTTAACACATTTAATTCCATTCGTGACAAAATTGAAGATTTACCACAATTGCCTTTCTTGGGATGTGATGAACATAAACACAGTTTTACACTATCCGTCATAAATTTTTTTCTCACTACAAGAATGCATTTTATTTGTGATAGAGCAAATAAGATTGAGTCATTCAATTCCAATAAAACAAAGCAATTTAGAAAGTTATCCAAACTTTAAAACATTGCATGTAAATTTTTAATTTTAATACTACAGGAAAATTTATCACACTAACTTTTTGAAGGTAAGAATAAAAGTTTCTCTAAGAATTTTCAAGATTTAAAAAAAATAAAACCTCATCAATCTTCTAAGCTCTCTCACTTTTTTTATCAGATATATACTTAATATGATTTCACCTGAGCAACAACTTTTTTCTTTATATCCACTGAATTTTTCTAGCTCTTGCTGGATATTTATTCAGTGCATTTTATTTTTATTAATTTTTTTTCACATTATTTCTATCCCGATCTATTTTTTTAGCATATGTCTGGACACCTTTTCAATGTATTTTTGCACTAGTTTGTTTCATATTTTGAAGTAGCTTTATCAGATGGTTCTTGCAGGGTGCGTACAGACTCCTTGGGAAAAAAAGCAGTGCCGTTCCTGGGGTGGCGAACGCCTGCGTGCAAGAATAATTTTGTGCGCCCCTATATACTATGCTTAAATTTTGATGATAAGGCCAACTTTCATAATCATTTTTAGTTTGAGGTTTAAACTGAATTGTTTCCTTATAGACTAAAGTCACTTTAGTGTAAGTGTTTGATTATGAAAATGGGCGTAATAAAATAAAACAACGAAAAAATATTACAAAAATTTTATTTTCGACATGAAATAAAATAGACTATTAACGTTCAATATAGACTATTAACGCACAACACGCCGACAACAGATTTTTTGCATGTAAATTCCAGTGTAGAAGTTACTTCTTATATTAGTTTACTGTTTCTTCCCGTAATCAAAGTTTACAGCTTTGCTATAATTTGATTTTTAATAATTTGCTATAATTTGATTTTTTTCGAATAGTTGAATTTGGCGCCTGCGTGCGGGGCATTCGCTGCATACCCGCCAGGAACGGCACTGAAAAAATGTCTCCAAGAAGTACTTGGAACTACTTAGATTTCTAAATTAGTCCTTAGATTATTGTGTTGCATAGATGAACTTATTAAGTACGCTGATGAATTTGCTGTCCAAGCAGGGAAACTAAATTATGACTTAGCTGTCCAAATCTAATAGTTTAAGAAAAACTTTAAAAGAAGAAAAAATTAAATTGCAGGAGTTAGAGAAAAAAAATAACAGCAAATAATTTAAATTTTACATGTTACGAGCAAACTTAATTAATAATTTACTGTGATTTTTTTTTTTTGTATAAAATGCCTTAGATTTTCTTATGTATTCAGTTTTAAAAATATAAGATTTGTAGGCTTTTATGTTAATCTTTAAAACAAAATTTATTAAAATATTTGAAACTGGAAAATGTATTTATATATAAAAAAAAAGGTAAAAGTGATAACTTTATTTATTTTTCTTGATGAAGTTTGACCAAGTCAAAATTTATTTCAAAAGGGCTAGAAAAAGATATGTGGACTATACATTTTTGCAAGTTCCTTATAATAACTTCTTTTTAATTAAAAAAAAAACTATCTAGTTATCTTTTACACTAAGTTTTTTAATTTTTAATAAGTCCTTAAAATTTTGGACTCCTTGTTCTGATCTCTGTATGAACCCTGTTCTTGTCATAATTTTTTTATTGCTTTTTTAATCTGAATTTTTATTTGCTAACAAGTTTCTACTCTGATACCAAATCCCCAGTTGTTGGGAGGATTATTTCCAAGCATACTTGGAACTTAATCTAAATATTAGAATCCATTTGGGTCCTTTTGTTTAGTTATGTATATTGTACCCAATGTGATTTTTTATTAAGATGCACTTTCATCTTAGAAGTCTCAGTCAACAAACTCCAGATTTAATTTCTTTCCAGTATGAAAAAAAAGAGAAACTAGTGAATTCCATTTTGCATTATAATCTGAATGTTGTGTGAAAAATAAATTATCTTTAAAAATTTGCTAATCACTTTAAGATGCATAAAGTTTATCTCATTGGTTAGAGACATGCTAATTTATTAGCATATTGTATGTTAATTTTCCAGAATGTAAATTTTTTACCAGTTTATGTGAGAAGAATACAGAAGCTGAGCTTATACAGAAACCGAGTCAAAAATATTAAAGTATCTTATTTAGCTTGTGATTTATTTCCATTTATAACTAATTAATGAATTTTTTTGTTGTAATGCAGAAGAAATTATTTATTTTTTATTAATATTTTTTTTATTTATTTAAGAAATATAATGACACTACTAGAAGAAGAGCAGATCTTGTGTTGTTTAAATTGAACATCAACATCTCTTTATTTTCATTCAAGTACATGGTTTAATTTTCATAATAAAATTAAAAATTGAATTATGAATATTTTTAGTTAATTTTACCACTATGCAATAAAAGAAACCACTTTATTTTTCATATCACAATTCGCACACAAATTTCTCTAAAGGAAGCTTAAATAGAATAATTTTCACTAAATTGAATAATTTTTTTGAAATTATAATATTGAGATAAAAAGATTTTGATCTATCATTGATTCTGTTAGTTTATTTTATTTAATTATTAACATAAGCAGGCATTTTGTTTCTATGAATCTACATTTTCTATTGAAATTCAAAACATCTGTTAACTTAAATTTTACTTTATATAAATTTCTCTTAGTCATTATCAATTAAAGAGAATGTTTGTATATATTTTAAGGTTAAAACAATAGGATTCAGAAAAGAAAGCTATGAAAATTTGTAAATTTATATTTTTAATAATGAAAACAATTGTAAATAAAGAAGTTCAAAAAGGAGGAGAAAACTGACAATTAAAATTTCAATGATAATTTTTCCAAAAATAAAATAAATTTTCTACCAATAAACATCCTACTGTGAACTTAAATATTTCAGAATTTTTAGTGAGTACAAAACAATAAAAAGATGTCTGCTTGATATATTTAGCAGTTTTGTCTTCTATAGCAGATTCTCTCATTAACTCTAATGATTTTTTTGGGTCTCGATTGACACTTTTTTAGAAGAAAGTTCTGATGATCAACTCCCTGTTTGTGTCTCTAAATGAGCTTGGTCATTCAAAATATTAGAGTTTATTAGGGCCTTTTTATTTATATGCATGTATTGTGTCCAGTGTATTCTAATATTTTGACATACCTTCATTGTCACAGTAAAAGTGGAAAATTCTTTTCAACATTTAGGAGGTTTTCAAAAGTAAGTATTGTTTTGCAATATATTTAATAAGTCAATAAACATACAATTTGGAAGGCAATATTTTAATAACCTTTCAACTAAAAAAACTTGCAAAAACTAATGTTTTTGTTAATTTATTTTGTATTAATGATTATTGGAGATTATCGTTTCATCATCATAAATTGTTATATGTTAACAGAATAATCTTATCTTATTTTCACATTTATTTCTTCATCATCATTAATAGTAAGTAATTTTTATTTATTTTATTAATTTTTATTTATTTATCTGTATTAAAAAAAATTTTTCTTTCCAATTTGATAGTTTAAAACATTCAATTTCAATACCACTGATTTCAAAAACTATTATATAAAATGAAATCTTTGAATAAAAGCAATATTGTTTTTATTATTTAACCATTTTTCTTTATCAGTGTAATATTCCATAAAAATATTTTAATTCCCAATGCAGTTGTAAAATACCTCATATGCACATGCATATTTTGACAATTTTAACTTTTCTTTTCATTTAAGTCTTAAATCCCACCTTCAATTTAGTATTTAATATAACAAATTTTTCACTTTTTAAAATATTTGTTTTAATTCTCAAAATAAAATTTTAGGTTATTATAAATAATTTTGTCTTAATGTAAGCTTTAACTGGAATAATTTGTTACAAAATCAATCTAAGCTCAAAATTAAAGATTTTCAAAATGTAAAAATCTAAGACAACAAAGAAAGAAGTTTCTTAATGCACGACCTATACTGTTCTTTTTTGACAAGAACTCTAAAAATAATTATATATATTAAGGACGATGATACAGAACATTCCTATTTCTCACCCCTAAAAATGGAATATAGCCATCAAAAAACAAACAATTTTTATTTTTATTTTTACAAGAATTGGAAGTGTTTCAAAAATACTCTTTGATTGGCAAATTTGTTATAATACATGACTGGTTATAGCAACAGAAGGATGCGTAATGTTGAATTTCTCACTCAGATGCTTTATTTTTTAGCATTTTAACTTGCCCGGTTGTATCAAAGATTTTCTGGACCTTAAATTGTAACCTATAAAGAGAAAACATTGAGTTAGTTAATGTAACATATAAATTTTGAACAAAATTAGAAAATAAGATACTGTAAAGAGTGTAGGAAAAATATGATTTTCAGTCCAATCCTATGTCAGACTCAATTTGACATTATAAATTTTCCACTGCAGGGTGGCTACCCCTATGGTAGAATTTTTTCGGACTTTCTGCTCTCTCTAATCTAATAGTATATATAATTCTCTTGCGTGGCACCCAAATTTTGGCTGTATTTCTTTTCCGCCGGTGGCAACGTTTGCTTTGTTTTGTTTACATTACTATTTCTCTTACACGGCATATCGACCAACGATTGCCGCTAAAACTGTAACATGCCAAATCTAGCTGAGGTGGCTCAACATACAGCACTTTTAAAGACGAAAACTGAAATAATCAGAGAGCATCAGGTGCGACAATCTCATACTATTAAGCTAGGCAGAAGTGACTAGTCTTTGTCGAGAGATCTCCATTTTAGTATTTTGTCGAAAGCGCTTTTTTTCACGAATTTATTTGATGATTTTCTATTTATATCACGAATTATACTATAGCACATTTCTAATAGGTTCAACGAATTGCAGGTCATTTATTCGAATACAAATTTATTTTAATGACTTAGTATTTACTAAAAAGATGTAATTTAAAAAAAAAATTTTTTTTACATGGATTTGAATGATTGTTTTGAATCCTTAGAATTTTGTGCATTTGCAATGTACATAAGTCAGTAGCGAACGAATCGAGCTTGGGTTGCAAAGCAAACCATGTAAGATTGCGTAGCAATTTTCGGGGGTTAGCGAGCAGGGGGCGCAGCCTACTAGTACTAATATATTTCTGCAAGGTACTTTCAATAATAACAAAGATGTATGTTACTAATTTAAGATAACAAAAAGGTATGATACTAAAGGTAACAAATACAAAATAATTTTTTAACTGAATATGTAATATTTTTTTATATTCTAATATTACAGGCTATATTCTCTCTTTTAGTTGGGGGAGGGAGCAAACTATTTATTTCCTTTATTGCATTTGGCAAATCCTCATACCAGTAAAAAAAAAAAAAAAAGAAGCATGAAATCTGTTAAAGTAATTACCGAAAAGCATATTGAAGACGAAATCATGCGAATCGGACTCTTCAGAAAGGCATGTTTCGTTTCAAGATTTGATTGTTGTAATAAACAATATTGTATAAAAAATATTGGGTTTTAAAAACATGTGGAAATCAAAAGCAATAACTGCCATCAAATTACCCATATTGCCTGAAATATATCTAAAAAGTAATTGAAAACCAATGTCAATAACTACTGAAATTACAATTAAACTGGATTTACAATATCTGCATAAACTGAGCACTTCAAAAAGTGTTTATTTAAATGCACAATTCAAATTTTATGTGTAAATTTCTACAGAAACTACACTAGATGTACTAGGTTTCATACACTAGGTGTGGAAATTAAGAAAATGTTTGCCTCTGGTCCGTGAAGGCAGAAATATGCTATTTTCTGACAAAAACACCATACTGAAAATAAAAAGAGACATTTAAAAATCAAATCAAATCAGTTGGAGATCTACTCCCATTGTGGGGATTGTGAGTAGTTATTGACCATGTCAACAGCCCCACAATAGAATCGAGTTCACATGTCTTTATATACTAGTGAATTGGAATTATAATTTATGTAGTGGTAGATATACTTCACCCATACTCCTAAAAATAAATAACTTAGTGGTCACAAAATTGAATATGTTCTTCTATGAATATGTGAGGATCAAACGATTGGTGGTCTCTGTACTAGAATGTGCTTTTAGGTGCCAAAAGGCTGAACAGTCTTGGTGTAGTTTCTATCTTAGTTAAATAATCAGTAAATACTAACAGTAAAAACTGCTTAAAACACTGTTATAAAAGTTGTACTTCTGTATTCTGTAATACTTCTGTATCATAAAAAAAAACTTAAGAAAAAAAAACATTTAAACTTTTTTTTGTTACCATTATTAAAATGTACCAAACAGTTATCCGAGTTCAGATGCAACTACCCTTCCCCTTACTACTCTAAAAACTTTGAAACTATTTTGGTTTTCGGATTTTCATGTTATACAGTAAGGAACCGATTATCCGGAACGATCGGGACCATCGCTATTCCGGATAACTGATTTTTCCGGTTTTCTGAATCGCTACAAAAAGCCGTTTTTTTATTGTTAAACCCAACTAAAACAAAAAAAAATATTTGGAAATAATCTTAAAAAGAAGAAAAAACGATGAAGTAATACACTAATGATTATTTCCAAAATGATGGTAAGGTAAACATCTTTCAAAAAAGAAAGAAAAATCCTAAAATCTTATGAAGAAAAAAACATTTTTTTAAAAAAATGGCGGGAAAATGTATCGAATTTTGTTCCGGTTTTTTGGTTTTCCGGTTTTCTGATTTCCGGATAACGGGTTCTGTACTGTACTAAGTTCACAGATAAGTACCAAACATAACACTAACCTTTATTTGATTCTGGTTGACTATCACTTATTTGGATATCCTCTTTCTTCTTTCTGAGAAGTTTGCTCTCCTGAGCACCAACTCGGGAGACGGCAGGTCCAGTTCTGGAGGGTGAATTCAATGTCAATCGACTGAGATTAGAAGTCAGTACGGGGTCACTGTGATCAATCTTCAGTTTTTTCTTCCTATTAAGAGAAGTTGAGGGGTTAGTTGGATTCGCCTTGCGCTGTCTTAAAACTCTAAGTTGCTTTACAGGTGAGACAGCCAGAGGAAGTTCCAAGTGTCCTGTTGACGTAGATAAATCTTTACCTTGAATGGGATAGTCCAAAACCAAGCAATCCTTTTCTATAGTATTATTTGGAGGCTTGAGGGAATCCTGAGAATGATCTGCAGATTTTGGCAGAGAACTTTCATCATTAGCAATTTGAGGATTTGATTGTTCAAGTTCTAACTCTTGAGCCGTATGGATGTTACTATCACTGCAGCTCAAATTTTCTTTATTTTCACTTCGCTTCAATTCATCGTAAGTATCACAAATATTTTCTAATTTTTTTATACTAACAACAGGCTGTAGTACCTCTTCTGAAAATACTCTAGCATAACTGGAATTCCTATTTGCAGACGTTTCTGTAAGTTCTAATAGTTCCTCGGACTTATTCATTACAGGTTCATTGTTATCAGCATCATAAAAACGGTTTTCCACTTTATTTTTAAGGAAATCATGCCCATTCGGATCTTCCGACGAAACTTCACGACTACTTTCAGAAAATGGTAGATCTTCATTTTCAGTACTGGCAAGAAATAATTTTCCTACTTCCGAATCTCGGATAAGTTCTCTTTCGGCACAATCAGCATCGGAAGTATTCTCGTAATCACGTTCGACTTCCACGCTCGAACGAGGCGACTTTGCAACAGAGCTTGCAGCTTCATCAGGCTGGAAGCCTAAATTACATTTTGATTGGATGCAGTCATCAACTGGAATCAGACAAGAATTTTCATTTTGAATCCCTAAATCGTGTAATTGAGAATACTCATCAAATGAGTGCTCCCCAAAGAGTGATTCATTATCAGAAATGTCCTCGGTGTCTTCGATTCCGAAATCCGATTCAAGAAACACTGCATTATTTTGACTGACTTCAAGCTTAGAACAATCACCTCTATAATCAAGCAAATTACTTTTTGCTTCAGATAGGATATTGTACTCTTCACTATCAACTGCAGTTTGTTTAGAAATCTCAGAGAAAGTTTGACAACTACTGCTGGTAACAGAGAAAAATTCAGATTTACTTATATTAACATTTGCGGAGGACTCAATAGGTGGTAAGTTTAATTGGCAAGATTTTTCTTTAGAAGTTTCCAAACAACTCTCATCTGTATTATTTATTTTACTAACTACCTCATCTACAAGTTTGTATAATACACCCTCAATATAATTACCAAGCCTATTGGGACTTGCCTCTTTGTTTTCTGCAGGCATCTCATTATTTTGACTTTGTTTATCCCTGCCAAACAAACAAGAAACAATGGAATCGTTGAAATTTCGATTTGAAAGTTCGTTTTCTGACGTCTCTGGAGCTAAGTTCTTTGGTAGTGTTTCAGGACTCATAACATGAAACGCTTCTGCGCAAGTTTCAGAAACATGCAAATAAACAGTAGAATATTCAACTTTTTTAGTTTCATTAATATTTTCTTCCAAGTTGATGGAAGAATTATCACTAACAGAGTTTATTTTAGATATTTTTGAGACTTCATCAGAGTGATCAGCATTACCTATCAATGAGCATTCAGCGCTAAAATCTACAGTTTTATTATTAATTGGATAATTTTTATCTTGAACAACTTCTACATCAACAGTTTTATTATTAATTAGGTCATTTTTATCATGAACAACTTCTACTTTGTTCAAACTTATATCATTATTTCCACTAATTATTGGTTGCACTTTAACAAGATCTTCGGATATAAAATGTGATGGATGCAATTCAATTAATTTTACGTTTCTATTTTTTCCATCATGCACACTTTCTTCTTTTTCATCACCACACAAACAAATTGGTATAGCTTCAGTTGAATGGGACGGGATTCGTATACTACTTTGCTTTTCACAAAAATCTGTATGCTTATCTTCAGAAAGAGTAATTCTTTCAGAATTTGGCATTGTTTCATTAGCTTTTATATATTCCTCTAATGGTACTTCATGATGATGTTTAATTTCAGTTTCAAGATTTAGAGATGATGGAATCGATTTTACTTGATCAAATTTTATTTTAGAATCAGAAATTGATTTTACTTTATTTTCTTCTGCTTTGGATTCAGGACTCGGAGGTTGCAAAATTGATACTGTCTCAAGCCTTTGAGCAGTGGCCTTTTCATGCTCATTATTTTCTACAATTTCATTATCAGGCCCAGGTAAGTGCTTAAGAATCAAATTTGATTCACTATTATCTTCTGTATCTAAAGGCTCAGTTAACTCGATTTTTTTTCTCTTTTTACCTATGTGTGGAATATTTGTACAGATATCAAATGAAGAATCAACAGGCATTTTTGAATCATCTTCAACAAGGGCTGTTTCTGCTGCTATATCAATGGCAGATTCATATTGATTCACCACTCCAGCATCAATGAGAAATGAGCTGTTAACGCTATTTGATGAACAAGAATCTACTTTGATTTTTCTCTCTGAAAAGGTGTTGCTCATTGCTTCTTTTGTCTTGCTACTTAGGTCAAAAAATTCTTGACCAACTTTACCTTTAGTTTCATTATACAACTGAGGTAAAATTGACGATTCTTCTTCAACAAGCTCCTGTGTTGTGATGTTTCTATTCTTAGTAACATTTGAATTTAATAACTTGTCCTTCCTCTTTCTTTTTACAACAGAGGCACCAGAAGATGAAGGATCAACTAATGCAGTTGAATCAACACTATCTCCAGTACTTGAGTTTGTTAACATGTCCTTTTTCTTCTTCTTTCTTTTAACAACTGAGATACCAGGAGATGAAGAATCAATTAATGCAGTTGAGTCAATACTATCTTCAGCACTTGAATTGGTTAACATGTCCTTTTTCTTCTTCTTTCTTTTAACAACTGAGATACCAGGAGATGAAGGATCAACTAATGCACTTAAATCAATACTAATTTCGATACTTAAATTTGTTAGCTTGTCCTTTCCATTTACAAATGAGACACCAGGAGAGGAAGGATCAACTAATGTAGTTGAGTCAATACTATCTTCAATACATGAATTTGTTAACCTGTCCCTATTCTTCTTTTTTCTTTTTGCAATTGAGGTACCAGTAGATGAAGGATCAGCTGTCGCACTTAAATCAATACTATCTTCAGCACTTGAATTGGTTAACATGTCCTTTTTCTTCTTCTTTCTTTTTATAACTGAGATACCAGGAGATGAAGGATCAACTAATGCAGTTGAATCAATACTATCTTCCGTACTTAAATTAGTTAACATTTCCTTCTTCCTCTTTCTTTTCACTAACGAGACACTGGCAGGTGAAGAATCGACAAAAATGTTTGCATCGTTTTTGATAACGGGTGTTTCTGCAATGTTTTCAATGGTAAAATCACACTGACTATTTATTCCTGTACCAACTACAAATGAGTCTTTAACATTGTTAGGTAAATAAAAGTCTTCTTTGACTTTCACTTCAATCAGTAATGCCTAAAGAGATGGATTAAAAATTATTTGTAAACATTAACTAAAAAGTTTTTTTAAAAAAAGAAATAATTATTAATGCTTGAAACAATATAACTTTCTATTTTTCGCTTAAAACAGAATTTTAAATGTTTGATTCTACAGATATAATCAAATGAAATAGAATTTCAAGCATGCCTAATTAAGAATTTTTTTTCTTTTTTTAAAGAAAGAACCTTAATTATTAATTCCTCAAACTAGAGTATAAGATAGAAGATATAGAGAGATAAAACTTTTTGTCGGCAGTAAGGGTTAAAATTCTAATGTTGTTTGAAAAAAAAAATACAGCAACTAACGAATGATCGGAATAATACTTATGACTTATAGTGATCTTTTCATTTTTTAATTCTTAAAGGGATTGTTCAGCAGCAATTTTTTTTCTTCCAGTTGAATTGAGACAGAAAATCATCCAGTTTATTTTTGATCTAAAATAATTTTCTTAAATGTTTAATTACCACATTTAAAAAGATAAAATCTTATAAAAATAAGCAAATGATAAAATGAATAAGATTTTATTTTATAATCATTGTTGAACAGCCAAATTTTCAGTTTACGGCTACCAATGTTCTACTTCGTAACCTTATAATTTTGAACCCAATACAGAAGACAAAAGAACTCTCAGATCAAGTATTGGGAGAAATTTGCCTTTGTGGTGGACTTTTCGATGGAACTAACCTGCATTTGCGTTGCATAAGACAGAAAAACTACAAAAACGTTTCAAGGTTAGTCTGACCACAAAGGGGACTCTAATCCATGAATCGAGAACATATGCACACATTGGTTAATTAACAGATTGAGGCTTAACAGCAAAAAACTCTTCAGCTCTTAAAAGGTACTTGCAAAAATTTTCTGTCACCAACTGCGAGCGCACGTTTACAACTCCCGTCGTGAAAGGATTAATTTTTAGACAAAATTAAAGGATTAATTTTTAGACAAAATTAATCCTACTTTTAGTAAAGTTAATTCCTAAGTAAATGCGGTCATTAGTTGCAGTTACCCAAAACGAACGCATTGAAACATCAGAGTTTTATTTCACTTAAAGTAATTATTTTAAATATTCAAGAAATTAAACAAAAATACATGAATTATAAAAATAAAATAGGAGTTGCCAATGGATAACTCAGGGTAATCATTTAACAGATAAAAATGAAATTTCTGGGATTTTCAAAATAAAATTTAAATAATATACCAGATTTTCCTGATTTAAGCTAGCACAATTTTCAACATGATTTAAAATTTTTCATACATTTATACATGCCACACATTTAGTAGAGAAAATCTCTCTTGAAAGTAATTTATGACTATTCTATGCTTTAAAAGTATTATGGTATTCCAACAAAAATAAAATATTTGAAGTCCTAATTGTCCAAGAAGTTTAATTAAGTGAGCAATAACTGTTTAACCGAAATAAGAAAAATTATTAACTAAGTGGAATTGGGTTATTCATTACGATAACAAAGAAATAAGCTACAATATTTTCAAAAAATAATTGCCCACTTTAAATTTGAAGAATTTTAAGAGTTAAAAGTAAGTCACCCAGAATTCCAGAGTGTGTGAAAACTCAAAAGACATGTTCATGTACTAAAATGATTTGAATAGAAAAATAAATTTATTTGCCTATTACAGGGCATAATACGTTAATAATTTTTGTACAGGACATTGAATTCTCTTTAAAAAGAAGAAAGAAATATATTCATATTTGAATTATAATTTATTAATATAAAACCTAAATTAGAAAGAGACACGTTGAAAGATCTTGAAATAAAATTATCACAGATAAGGACTAAATAAATGCAATGGGGAAAAAAACAACTTACTTTTCGCAATTGTACAAAAAATTCTTGTGGAAGTTTCATATTATTAAGAAACACTTTTGTAAACAATTTATTGTTTACGTTGGTTAAATTTTCTATTTCATGGGACATGAGCCAAGACTTAATGTCTGAAGGAATGTGAATCTTTGAAGCAAGTGCAACAACCTTTGCTCTCTCTAATTTGTTCTTTGACAGGAATTTCACTGTTTTGAGCAGCAGCATAACCTTGAAGTAATCTTCTGCTTTAGATACTTTCAGCTTATTAGTGAAAAGAAAATGACTGCAAAGAAAAATAAGCATTTGTCATAAGAATATTCAGCAAAAGTAACCAATATGCAATAGTTATTAATAAGGTTTATGGTCTTTAGTACGACCTTCCCATTCATTATGATAACCAACTCACAAGACTTTGTGGGGAAAGTAGATATCAACAATGTCAACTTTCATCTATGAAACCCCACAATAGAATCGAGTTAACATGTTTTATATAGTAGTGAATTTAATTATATTTTTTTGTAGTGGTAGATACACTACAGTACTCCACCACCGGAATGATACCTGTGATAGAATTCAATAAACGGATACCACTAATTGATTCATTGCTGTTTTGTGAGACGCCAGGAGGGGGAGCTGTTTTAAGATCACCGTACAGTTGAGTGCTGAACGTCAGAGCTGTATTAAGTTCACAGTCGTGGTCGCTCCTGTGTTACCCTTAGTAGTCGAGTGTATACATTGAACGTTGTGTTTGATGGAGACTGAGAAGCAACAGCGTGAGGAACACAATGTCTCTGTCACAAGTAGCAAGTCAACTGTTCAAATCATAGTGGGCGTTTCTGCCAAGGTAAGCATGTTAAAATCACGTCCGAAGGTCACCAACGTCTGGGGTGGTGAGTAGATATCGACTATGTCACCTTTCAACCATGAAAAGGTACCCCCACCATAGAATCGAGTTAACATGTCTTACATACTAGTGAATTGGAATTATATATATTTTTTGTAGTGATAGATACACTACAACTTGTCTCCTTTTCGAAAGAAGCAAATAAGAGTCTAATGTGAACCTTACCAATGAAGCAAACTGAAATCTTATTCCATTGTTTTTATTCCAGTAAATATTGATTTAAAAATAAGTTTTGATATTTTCTTCTGCATTCATAATACATAAAAAAAAATTGTTTCCAATTAAAAAAACTAGTTTTTTCTAGTTTAGTTAGAAATGTTTCAAACCAGAATCTCTTTTGATGATTGTGCATTGAATGTGAAACATCTTGAACTCTTTTCGAAGGAAGAAATTAAAAGTCATTCGATCCAAGATGCTTAGCGTAAACCAGTACTACTAGGTGTAGACTAGTATATAGCAAAACAGGGAATTCTTGTAATCAGTGGCCAGTTGTAGCATTTTTAACAGTGTCCACTTTTTTAAAAATTGGATATTTTATATTATTGATATTAAGAATCAATCAGTATCTATATTAAGAATCAATCAATCAATAGTGTATTTTTATGAAGCAATATTTAAAAAAGAATTTTTTTAATTGTATTTTTATCATTATAGAGGTACAGATTTTTCTAGTAAAATTTTTGCAAAGAAACTGGTAAACCAGGCACTCAGAGTCGAAGAATTTTCGATGCTCTGACAATTTATGCACGCTTTAGAGTCCCAGATTTTAATTTTAAAATTTTTAGTACAAGCAAGCAAACAAAAAATAATAATAATAACATAACCATCAACTTGCAGGGAAACACACAAATTTATTTCGCAGCTGAATTATTTATTCATTCTTAAAAAATAATTGAATCTAATAAATTCTCTTTCATATTTGATTTAAAATCACTATAAATGTAATTTAATACCGAGAATAGTCTTTCTATATAACTAGGCTAAAGGTCACAATGCAGACAATGAAATTGCTGTAGCCTGGAGCATGGGTTCCGAAAATTTAAAGTTCCAGCTTCACTCTGGTTGCAGGTTTTATCTCTGAGTTACAGAGGTAAACAGGAGTAAAAGTACGATGCATGCAAATAATAATTCATAAGCAATGAAAATTTTCTTTACAAATAAAATAGCATATATATATATATATATATATATATATATATAAACGAAAATTATCAATACAGTAAGGAACTAATTAACTGGAATGCTGGGAACTATCCTGGATGTCTGAATTTCCCTGTTTTCTGGATCGCTAAAAAATGATTTAACACAGCTTAACTACATTTCTACTTTAATATTCAATTAAAAAATGCAGATTTAGTATTAGTATTCCAATTAAAAATGTGTATTTTGCACTTCATTCTTTTTACTTTATTGTATTTATATAATAAGGCATAGAGATGTATTTTTCTTGCTATTTCTCAACCTCCTTCTGTTAGCTCATATTTCCCGATTTACGATCTTTAGTTAGAACGAAAAACGAAATCATTAATTTAATCTGATTTCATTAATAAAAAAATAATAATAATAAAAAACGGCCAAAATTGATCCACGAGATTTATCTGACAGCGACTCATTTGGAAAGTTCTTTCTCTGTTTTGTGCAGCCGATATCTCCAAAAATCTCTATTCATGCAAAAAAAGTACTGGCGCTGCTAAAGACCACTAAATGAAAGATATGTCATAAACATTGGATAAAAGAGATCAAATAATAGTAACAATGCTAGAAATATAAGACTATTACTTAAGAACTGCAGTAAAAGATGGTCGACATTTTTTCTTGACATTATTAATGAGGACGAGAGAATCATACATCAGTTCCAATGGACCTGTGAAAATAATTTTAACAAAATAAGGAATTATGGGAATTAATATTCAAAAGATGCATCTTAATTTCATTTTAATTTAAGTTATGAAAAAAAAATATTTAAACTTTATAGAAGGACAAGAAATTTCCACTCACTATTGATGTAGGGCTAGTGAGAAAGTTTTGTCTCATAAAATTTTGTGTTTCAAATCAAACTACCATCCATATTTTCCCCAGAAAAATATTAGGATTTTTCTTAGTGTGCTCTTTTTATTCCTGTTCTCTGTTAATCTTATAAGGGTTTGTCATTTTCCTTTGCAATTAGAAAAAAAAATTGAAAAGGATGTTTCAGTGCCAAAAAGGCAGCAATATGCAAACATTGTGTTAAAAGTACGGGGAAATTTCTAAATAGGATGATATTGGAATCATTAAAGCCTTACTACAACCTTATTTTAAATAATCATTATTATCATTTTTGCCTCTGTACCTTAATTTTTATCGATCCCTTTTTGGTTATAGAGGTCACTAAAAGGTTCTTCATACTACATTTGCCAAGGTTCAAAAGGTTCATATTTTTGAGAAAATAGAGAACAGAAATTTTAGCTTGATTAGTACGTTTAGAACTGAAATTCATTTTTAACCTGCTCTATACTATTTTCAAAACCAGAGATAACTTTCATGAACTCAATTATTATTATTTTTCTTTCTTTAAAACATCTAAACGTAAGAGAATGAACCTAAAGAACTTGAACACAACTTGAAAAAATGAAAAATGGTATCTCTGTCATTCTAAAGACTGCCAGTAAGACCATTCATAAAAAGTAACAGATACAGTGCCATATATATTACAAATAATAATAATAGCATGCAAAGAATCTTCGAGTATTCAATAAATAAGCATAAATTTCTTAAAAGGATAAATATAGATAGAACACAAACTAATAATTGTCAGTAAAATATTAGGATCTCTAATTCCAATAAATAAACAAAATTAAAACAAATAAAAAAAAAACTATTTATTTCCTAATTCATTATTTAAAAATAATTGCAGACAGTATTGCTGCAATAATTATTGCAGACATTTCAAAAATTATAAAGAATAAGTAATATGAAACCTTCATTGCAAAATATTATGCTCAAAAATTGAAAAGCTTAATGGCTATATAGCATATTTTTGTTTCCATTTTAGACAGTTCTGTCAATGATTAACACAATCGTACATTTTTATAACTACATAATTTTTGGAGTAATATGTATATATGGCTAAATCTATCATGCTTATAAAAAATAAAAGAAATACTTTTGCTAAAAAAGAATAAATGCAAAAGATAAAAAGAAAACAATTTTTTTTTTGTTACAAACAACACATGTGTAACCTTAATCCTAAAGGAATAAAACAAAAACACAAATTAAACTTTTGAATTTATAATTTAAACATTCTATAAACATTCGATTAATTTATAATTTAAACATTCTATAAACACTGAATGTTACATTAAAATGATGTTGTTGTTGTTAATTTACGTCGCACTAGAGCTGCACAATGGGCTATTGGCGACGGTCTGGGAAACATCCCGGAGGATGATCCGAAGACATGCCATCACAATTTTGATCCTCTGCGGAGGGGATAGCACCCCGCTTCGGTAGCCCGACGACCTGCGCGCGAAGTCGAGCACTTTACGGTAGCACAGTTTAACGAGGACCAATACCGCACACCCTCGGTCCCTACGCAGACTGATCCAAGTGGTCACCCACCCGCACACTGACCGCAGCCAGTGATGCTTGACTTCGGTGATCTGCTGGGAACCGTGTCTTAAAGATCAGTCCACACTAGATCAGTAAAGATCAGTCCATATTAAAATGAATACAGTAAAAATGTAATATTTATTAACACTTGCTTCTGAAATGTTTCAGTACTTAAATAATTATACACTGTGCAGCTTAACATATGATGCATTAACTCCAGTAATATCTACAATTGATATTTAAAATTATTAAAGTTTCAAAATTTCAAAAGAAAACACAATTGCTTTTTTCAAATGCATTTCAAAGAAGAAATCCCAATTTAAAATTAGTTATTTTTTGTCTGACATAATTTTAGCAAAATTCTTAACTTCAATTGTAATCATATGATTTAGCATTGATCATATAAAACTATGCTATGTACACGTTTTAAATTTTTAAAATAAAAAAGGATAATAAAAAAAAATTATTCTTGCTTTTTTTTTTTTAAGATTCTATTTAAAAGAAACTTGAAATCATATTAGAAAATAGAGGAATAAAAAGGAAAAAGTAGAGTAAAACTTATTTTCTATGTGTATATAAGTTTTGTAATGGTAATAAGTTAATTTTTTAAACATATGATGTATTTACATATTTTTATTAGGCAATAATAAATTTAATGCATATTAATGACTCAATGATGAAATAAAAATGGATAATAAAAAAAATAAAAAAAACTATTCTTGTTTTTCTTTCTTTTTTTTTTTTTTTTAATTTTATTTAAGAGAAACCTAAAATCATATTAGAAAATAGAGGAATAAAAAGTAGAAAAAAACTTATTTTCTATGTGTACATAAGTTTTGTAATGGTAATAAGTTAATTTTTTAAACATATGTATTTACATATTTTTATTAGGCAATAATAAATTTAATGCATATTAATGACTCAATGATTTGACTCAAGTGTTATCAATTTTTTAAAAAAAAAATAATAAAAAAAGAACAAAAAAATTTACCAGGGAAAATGTTCATAGCAGCTAAAATATTGTTTATCCATTTTGAAGATAATTTGCCTTTACTTAATTGGACACCAACCTTAATGAGGTAAGATAAAATAATTACGCAAGACTTTTTCATAGAACATAAAGACTCCTGTAAATAAATATAACAAATATATCTTAGGAAATTATAACAGTTTCAAAGGCTAAAAAATAAAAAGGTGTTTTTTAAAAAAAATGATTTAGTTCTAATTAATACATTAAATTTAACAAAGAACTTCAATAGATGAGAAAGATAGTGGTTAAAAAATTAACTAATTAACTTGCTTTTCACTAATATATATATATATATATATATATATTTAAAATTATATATATATATCTGCATGGAATAATTATAATAATATCTAGATGAGTGGAAATGTTATACAAAGCAAAAGATATTTTGAATTATTAAAAATTTGACAAATTGAAAAACAGAAAAAAAAAGTGTTAATTTAACAAGAACATAGGCAAAAAATTACATAATTATAAATCTTGTAGTGGTCCTAGTGGTCAATATATTCGTCTAACTTGAAGCCTCTAACTGCTCAGCTGGTGAACAAAATATTCTCATTTTTCTTATAATTTAATTTTTATTCTTGAAAACAATATTCTTTTTCAAAAGTTACGGTTATTTTCAAAAGCATTTCTTTAAAAGTAATTCTTTTTAAAAAAAAAATTATTTCGTTAAAAAGAAATTCTTAATTTTAAGAATATTATTTATTTTTTAAAGGAAATTATTATTTTGAATAACATTATTTGATAGCAATAGTTATCTTTAACAACATTATTTATTTATTAATATTATTCATTCAAGGAATTTTTTTTATCTTCAATAAAATTTTTTAAAGAAACTCAAAAATATTATTTATTTTTTTAAAACATTAATTATTTTTTAAAATGAATTCTTATTTCTAAAATAATAAATAGAATTATGTTTTTAAAAGGAAAATTTTATTTTTAAATACATGATACATTTTTAAGAAAAAATAATTTTTTTAAATCTTAATTTTACAGTTCAAACAAGTGATATTTTCTACTTAATTTTATTCATACATCTAGTTTAGACAGATTAAGAGGGGGGTGACTAAGGTTGTAGCTATAGGTTCCCACATTTTTAAGCACTCCCACAAGGTAACTTTAAAGATTTTAAAAGTAAGATTGACTTTGGTCATTTTTTTTAAAATCAATTTTGGTTTTACATTCTTCCTCTTTAGAACCATTAAAAAAAATCCTTAAAAGAATCATTAAAAAAAGATTTTATTTTAGAATAATGCTGGTGACGAATTTGAAGAGAAAATTATTATTTTATTTTTTTAGGGATAAATATAAAAAGAAAATAATTTTAATAATATAGTTGAAAATCTGTGATCCTAAATGATTTTTCTATCATTTCGCAATATTGTTTCATCGAGAATGCATAGTCAAATCATAGGAGAGATGAAGAGTATATTTTTACAATATGTGTGATTTTTGTCCTGACAGAATTTTTTAGTGTGCATTGGCCACAATCTTACACTGACCTGTATGCCTTGCCCAGTTGTTCTATTTGGAGGGAGAATTGCAACTGCAGGTGTATAAATTGTACAGATTACCATATAGAATTAAGGCACCTGTGGTACAAAAGTGACAACAATTTTGGGGCAGTAAAATTGTCTTTTGAATTACAATATCTACATTAGAGTCTTTATTATTCAAATAAAATCATAAATCAGCTAAAAATAAACAAAGAACTATTTAATATATTATATAATTTCTTTTTTTAAAAAAAGTACACTTTAATTTTAACTTAAGGACACTCTTGAAACTGTAGTTAGAAGTCATTTAAATATTACTTCATGTTACAACAATATTTTTACAATTGTTAGTGAAAAGGATTGCAACTCTAAAATTCACTAAATAGTTGAATTCTGATTTCGGCAAACTACAATAAACTAAATTCAATTTCTTTAGGAAGGTGCTTTCTTTCAATTATTGCTTTTGACAGTCACAGTTACTTAGACAAATACTAGCAATTATTAGGTACTTTACAGAATTGTAATCTCAATGCCTCAAATCGAAAATTTAAGACATTTAAATGTTGCTAGAGTAAAACAAAAATTTTACAAATTAATATTTTGCAAGCTATAGCTTTCAATAATTAAATTTTCTTCATTTTCTTAAGCCGAAATTAGTTTAAGCTAATGAAGCCAGGAAAAAAAATTCTTATTTTTTGTTATCAAAAATAGCCACTTTTTCAATAGAAAAAAAATTACTTTAATGATTTTTTTTTTTAAAAAAAAATAGTGACAATTTTTAACAAAAATTTGACCACACTGGAAAAGCATATGTGTAAAAAAAATAAATAAAAATAAAAACACTTTTCAATACATATGAACAAAAAAATGACATTTTCCTATTCAATAACACTAAAATATAAAAGATTTATAATTTAAAATTAGTTAAGAGATATTTAGGCTGTGCTCATAGAAATGACTCTGAGACTCATTTTAGTTTTGTAAAATGTTTTTAATCATCAAACATATGATTTGATAAAATTAAATTAGTATTCATATATGAATGGATAAAAATCGACTTTTGTCTATTTTGACATATATATGAGAGATGAAATTGAAAATGAGAAGGAATTAAGGTTCTATTTTTGGAAATAGGACATATTCCAGGTGAAATCGTCAAGACTTTCTTGAAAAGTTCTTGATAAAAAATGGGTAAAATAGTTTTTTTCCAGATTTTTCGGACAAACACACACAAAAAAAAGAACTATGATTATACCCTATTTTGAAATTTGGCGCAATTTAAGAAAATGGCGTAATTACAGACAGTGGCACAAGTTGAAAATATCCAAATTTTATTAAACTAATTATGGGTGGAATTTTTGTGACGAATTTCAAGAATTTATTTAAAGAGAAATAAATTTTACTACCTCAATTTCTTATCTAATAATGTTAAAGATCATACTTTCCAACATTAATAAAAACTAAATGTGTTTTTTTTGTTTAAAAAAATTAATAAATAAAAAGTGAATTTTTGCCAAACTACATGAGTTTTTTATGCAGAAAAACAAGACGTGCTGTGAACACAGTGATTAGTAATTATTGATCATACAAATTTCCCCCCTTTTTACTGTAACAATGCTGACACAAATGACATACTGACAAGGTCAACAAAATTTAATTCCACTGATAAAATAAGGTCATTATCTCCTTAAAATATACTTTAATAATTTTATATAATCTAATTAAGACAACTCACTCTTTTCCAATTGATCTTCCAACAGAAATGTTTATAAAAGTCTCCAATGCAGGCATATAATTTTTCCAAGCTAAAAAAATAACCAGAATTCATCAAATCTGGAAAAAAAATTCCTTTTGTTTTCCCTGTACATATTTTACACAATATATTAAGAGAAAAAACAGAACTATTGTGCTCTTGTGTAAGCTACATAGGGCTAACTATACTAATTTTAATGCCTGGAAAAATTTCAAGAAAAAAGGAACAGCTGAACATAATTAAAACAAATAATGCTATAGTAAATGAAATAGTTTGGTATAGCTGAAACACCATCCTTATATATCCCACCGATTGCATTTTGAATAGTCACCATTTTTTAAAAAATGTAAATAAGAAACAAAATTCCCTGCATTTTCCCTGTTATTTTAAGTGATTTTTAAATTCCCTGTATTTTCCAGACTTTCCCTGTAGAGTGGTATCTCTGTTTAAATAAAATTATTTAGTAATGAAAATCTTCCAGTTAAATTAATTAAAAGAAGGTATTTTTCTTCTTTGAAATAGAACAATAAGATTATTAAATAGCTGCATGATGAAAATAATAAGATATCTTTTAAAAAGTTATATGTTAATATATACAGGGGTGATTGTGAGCTCAACTCAAACATCCTGAAAGATTCTTGAGTAAAATCAATAATGACAAAATACAGAAAATTATTGTCTTTATGAATTTAAGTCATTGATATTTTCAAAACATGAAATTCTAAATAAATTACATGCAGCATAATTTAAATGAATAATTAATTATGTTTAAGTTTACTTTCATCTCTTACATTCATTATTCAACAAAAAAATATTTATTCAAATGAAAGAGTTGCCAAGTATAAATTCTAATTTTAATATTTCTAAATAAAATATACAAGAATTTTTAAACATAAATGTGATCAATGATTCATTGAAACTTCTGGACCTTGGGTTTCCGAAAACTTCCGGATCGCAGTCAGCGAAAAATCCGGATTTTTTCCGGAGCACAATCATCTGTGAACAATAAATTTTTTCCTTTCAAACATTTTAGCATCAAATTTTACAGATTTATACTTAAACTTATTAAATTAATATAAACCAAGCTATTCAGATTATAAATCAACTCAACACATTTAAAAGAACTTTGAGATAAATTTTATCTTGAAATCTATTGGCCTCACAGATTTTTTAAAGGAGTTTTAAAGATGTAAAATATTAAATTAGTTTCGTTAGCATTAACTAGATTTTGAATTTTAATAATGAAATCTTTCAGTTACATTGATAGCTCCATTGTTTTTCAAAACAAAATAATAATGTCAGGAATTGTGAAATATGGTCACCTGGTTGCTATTGGCAGCCAATAAATTTTGAGTGGCGACTACACTTTTAGCTTTTCAATGAAGATTTCACATTGTTCTTTTTTTTTCTAATTTTTAATTTTTGGATGAAAATATTCGGTTTGAGAATTCAGCTCAAACAATATTTTTTCATTGTTATAGCCTTTGTTTTCATCAATCATTGGAGAAAAAATTCACATTCTTTCCTTATTTTCGCATACACAAATTTCTGATTACAAATTTCTGACCATTAACTGGGGAAAAGAAATCGAAACTTGTTTACTTGCTTCGTAACTGATTTAAACACTATTTAATATAATTTTTTTAAATTATCCTAATTTGATATTTATTTTTACAAATAAAAACTATTTTTCACAAAAATTTTATCATTAAATCTAACAAACTTACTAAAAATTATTACAATTAGATAAATTGAGCCATTTAGTTCCTAAAACAACTCAATACATATAAAAGAATTTTGCGACATTCGTGAAAACATTTCGAAATTATGGGGCTTCAAAGATGTAAATTATTTTAAGTCACTTTTTAAGACATATGGAAAAGTGACTTCCTTAATTGCAACTTTCTATTAAACTCATTTTATCCCTTGATCAAGCAGATTTTGAAACAAAATATCTATTTTACCACATCACAAAGTAACCATAAACACTGCAAAAAAAATTTATTTAATTTTTCTGATTTTCATAACTAGTGACATTAATTTCCTTATCTGTATTATTTGAAAAACAATTAGGTCTATTTTTTGTTTCTGTAACTAATTTATATTAATGAACAGTATTTTTTTTCTCTTTAAAATATTGTTGCATGGGGTAAATAACATTGAATATAAAACCCTACAATAAATTACAGCTCACTTTTTTAGACATTTAATAAGGATATTGATATATTATACCACAGATAGATTAACAAGTAAGTACGAAAACACATCATTCGAAAAATATAAAAATTATCTTAGAATGATGGAACTGACAGGAACATAAAGTTACACTTAGTGAGATCAGGGTTTAAAAAAAGGTTTTTCATTTTTTAAACCCAACTCAGGTGGGTTTTTATTGGGCTTTTCTTTGGGTTTTTTAAGATATTACCTAGTTTAACACTCTTTAGATTTAATTCTTAATTCAAAAGAGAACAATTTTAATAAAAAGAAAACTTTTATACGAAAATAATAATTAAGTTATGCATTAAAATAAAAAGGTTTATTTCAATGCATAATTTTAATGTAGTAACATCTTTTCATGCTATGTATTAATAAAAGACTCTTAAATTAATTATTTCCTTGTGTAAAAATAAAATCATAATATTGGGATCAGAGAAATATGATGTTTTCTGGTTTTATTTATTTATTATAAAACATTCATAAGTTATAGCTTTATTTTTTTTCATTATAAAGTAAGCCTTTTAATGGCCAACTAACTACAGAACTACTGTTTATTTAACAATTTAGTAGTTTTAGGAATTATTCTTTAAACTATGTATTCATAGTTGGTTTTGATTTGAAAATTCCAGAATCAATCAATATATTTAAGATAAATATGAAATCCCTCAAAATCTATTTCTCTTTTATTTTATTCCTTATTAATCCATTATGATTATGTTTATAAAAACCCCTATTGAGGCTGGTTTTATTGTTTTTTTTAAAGAAAACCCACCCAGGTTTTTTTGGGTTTGTGGGTGGGTCAAAAATTCTGAGTGAGATGAATGTGTTACAAAATAAATAGATAAATAAAATTATTAGTACAAAGATGAAATAATTAAAAGTAAACTGAAAATTAGGATCTTAATTTAATTGACAAAACTCAAAGCTTTATAAAAATGAATAAGTAAATTATACATTAATAAGAGACATTTATAAAACTTATTTTTTTTCAATCTAAGGACTTTATTTGATCAGTTTTTACACATTTTAAGATGGAAAATTTTGAATGGTTTACTTTCCAACATCCTTGGAAACTTAACAAAAAAAAAAAACAGGAAATGGTATACGTAAACAATTGTAAAGGAAAAATTCATACCTATTTTCATCTTTCTTTGCTTGACGAAATTCATCTTTTATACATCTAATAAAAAATAAAAGTGATAATAAAAAACACATTTGCAAATACAGAAATATTAACACATTTCAGGGACATTATTTCATCAGTTATCTATGTATCTTATCTTGAGTTTAATTGAAGAGTAAAACTGGAAAATAATTATTAATGTGGTAATTAATAGTAGAACTTCTAAGCAGTAATTATGAGAACAGTTTTTAGTTAACTTAGTGAGAAAAAAAATAAAGTAGATATAAATTATGTTACAATTAGGAAGGAGTTATAAAATTTTATTGTGCAACTCATATTTTTGAATAGTCAAAGATTAATTAAATGTTTTTTCTTTGTACTTTAATTGTTTATTCTATTTATTGATTCATGTATGTATATCAGTTTGTTTTATTTTTTTGAAGTATTGTTTCATTATGTTTTGACAAGCTAATTAACTTTCGGTTCTAAATCTTTCTTTTACTATAGTGTTAAATAACTCTATTTCATTTTTTTTAAAAACATGTTAAATTCGTACTCTGATTTCACTAATAATCAAGTTTCTTTTGTTATTTTAAATGACATTTTATATTTAAATTCACTACTGTATTGCATAAAAATCCAAATAATCTCTTAACATAATTTATTGTATTTTATCAATATTTTTAGCTATAGATAAGGCAAAAAATCTAAAGGCTTCAAAAATGTGTAATAAGATGTATATTTTCTGCGGAATTTAAAGTAAATTTTTTCCTTCAAATTAACAAAAAGTGGTCTTGATAAAAATTTTAAAAAAACATTTATGGGCATAAACGACTGTCCGTGTACAGTTACGGGTGTGTCCGCTTTGCACAGAGGATACATAATGGTTTGTTTATAGAAGATAAACAAGGAATTAAAAAACTGTCAGTAATGTGAGGCATCTGTTTGTAAAAGTGTCCATAACATGAGATTTCACAATAACATGTAAGTAAAAGAATATAAAAATGAGCAAATAATATTAAAACATTCTTAATATTCAGAAGAAAATTTTTCTTTTAAATGAATTTGAACTTCAAATGATGTTTTAAAAATTAAAACATCACAGAGAAAGGAAAGGGAAAAGAAATATCTCCAAAATGAATTAATAATAAAAAAAAGATGTATAATATGAAGCAGAGAATAAACCTTTTTATCCATTTATTAATGATTGCATTTACGAAGTTTTCACTATAGACAGACAAAACAAAGAATTTCAAAACTTGAAAAGAATTACGTTTGAAATCGAAGTTATTAATTAGGACTAATTAAACACTAGCATCAAGAGAAAGCAGCAATGAAATTTGATACTAAAAATTATTTTTGATCCCGATTTCTGCAAGTAATATTGAAATTTTTTTTCTTATTATTTTAATGCTCGGTTTAACTTTGCTATCATAAATATGCTGGCAGACCATTTTCATCTTCTCATAACTTTTTTGCATAGTTAACACACTGCAGAGCGTAATCAGGCTCACTGGTGATCGAGCTGCTAAATTACATATGTTTGAATAAACATTTTGTATTTCATCTCTTATAGTAGCGATGGGCAAACTACGGCCCGCGGGCCAACTGTGGCCCGCCGGAAAGTAGAATTTTAATTTGCCGATCAGTGGCAAAATTAAAATTATTTTTGTTTTTCCTTTTTTAACAAAGTACTGATGACCTTTTTACTTTCTCTATTTTTGTTCAGCAAAACATAAATTGATGGAAATAGTTAGCACAGACAGCTTCAATTGGTAAGATGTTGAAAGCAGAAGTTCGTCATAGAATAGCCTTAGATTGGCTCTAACTAGCGTTTGTCTTTCTCGAGGAATCTAATGTAAGTAAATTGTACTTCACATTTGGCAGCTGCGCATTTTAAGAACCAACGAGCGGACAATCTAACAATCATCTGAAGCAGTTGCTTCTAAATATGCCAAAGTTTTTCAAATCATTACCAAAAGCTAGTTTCCAAAATTTAATACTTCATGCCCAGAAAATCAGCGCTATGTTTGCTTAATTTTATTGTTATGTGAACAAGAGTTTTCAACTATGAACCTTAGAAAAAATCATTCCAGAAGTGGACTAACAGAAAAGCATTCAGCCTTGTTCCTTAAAATAAGCACATCTCATTTCGAACCTTAATATAAGGAACTTTTAAAAATGAAATCGCAATTTCATTCATCTCACTAAATATTTAAATTAANTATATCTCTTTTTTTTTTTTTTAAATTTTGAAAGTTTTATTTGGCCCACCAAACATTTTTTTCTTCTCGATTTTTGGCCCTCGACCGAAAAAGTTTAGCCATCCTTGTCTTATAGCATAAATTAAATAAATTTGAACTAAGAAAACTTTTAATATCAGACAAATATTGTTTAATGAGAGATTTAATTTTCATTCAATATACAGAAAAAAAAAAAATTAAATGATGCTTCAGTAACTTACTTGAGTAGAAAAGAAAGAGCATCATCCCCATAGTCATGAGTGAAGCTCTTTGAGAAAGCTTTATAAACAGTGTCAGTCCAACTGTATTTCATCTTTAAGGTGTTTCAATACAAATTTTCCCTAATTAAACAAAAGTTAATCATGAATATATCGAGACATAGTAATTTTTCAAGCACTTAATGACTTAAAAGTTTATAAAAATTGCAGTGAAAATCGCAATTTAAGAAGTATTCAAATAAGTCAATTTCAAAAATTTTTTTTAATATAAATTGTTTAAGTCAAATTATTGTCACTAAAATTGGTGATAAAATCACAATCAGCATATAACAAATCTCTAGTCAACGTAGCATGGAAATTTACATATTAAGATAACATTGTCAATAGATGAAATTCTTTCATCAGTATTCTACATTCTTTACGAAAGTTCTGTAGCAGGGCCCTAGTAGGGCATACTCAGTACTTACTATAGTGTCAGCTCAACATGCTTACTATGGATACCACTCAGGGGTCTGTCCAGGCCAAATTTACTACAATTTAGCAGTACCTTCACAAATTCAACTTTAGGAAAAACGGTAGGTTCACAAAATACTTTTTCTTTAAATTTTATTTTTATATCCTGTGAGAAACAATAAATCAATATTTTTGTGTTGATATTTTAATATAATTTTTAATTTTCACAAATTATGTCTAAATTTTCACAAAATAGGTACCCCTTAGAAAAACATAGACAGATCCCTGCCACTTCAAAAATTTCAACACTGTACTTATTTTTAAAAAATTAACATTGTAGAGCATTGTTTATAAAAATTTACAGAAACATATAGCTCTCTGACTTCAAAATGTATCTTACTATCAGAATAACTTATATCAATGACTATTATTTTATCTAGAAAAAAGTATTTATTCATTTGCTTAATTTATTTTATACAGAAAACAAAACAAAAATAACAGCTATTATCATTTTTTTTAAATACCAATCGCTGAATAATACACTACTAGTTTTTCGTGGAATCATTCATTTACTGATTTTTCACTTCATCAGAAATGTTTAATGGTATAGCTCTATAAATTTTATTTTTAAAAAATAATTATAATGTAGCTTTTACCAGCGTATCAAAATATTAAGATGGAAAAAAAAACTTTTATCTCAAGCAGATTCAGCAATACAAATTTTGTTAGAACACATATAGTTCAGTCAATCCAATTATTTTAATGCAGTGTGAATTCATTACTTGAGCATTTCACAAGGATAATGAAAAATAACTATGCTTTAAATAAAAACGAATTTTTATTGATTTATTTTTAAGAGAAAATATTTATAATTTTTAAGGAAAAAAATTTTGAAAATTAAATTTCTTGAAAAATTAACTTCGAAAGAGCGATTCAAATTGAGGGACAAAATTCACCCCACAGAATTTTTCAAAAGACTGATTTCAGACCCGAGGACTGAAGATAGGCACCCATGCGAGTGTGTTCTCTATTCTAAAGGATAATTTGCATAATCTCCTTAATGTAACTAAATACTAACACTAATATATGCACTGTTTGCAACAAGCATAAATAGTAATAAACAAGTCAAAAGAAGTCAAATCAGGACTGCAAGAAAACCGAGTAACTTCTAAATATTACAACACCTGTGGCAGAACTTTTACGAGCTAACTGCAGCAAACTTCTCGAGCATTAATATCTTGCTAACATGTATATTACTAATTTAAAGATGTTAATATGTATATTACTAATTTAAAGATGCTAATATGTATATTACTAATTTAAGATGCTAATATGTAGATTACTAATTTAAAGAAATTAAAGCTTTGTGTTTACCTAAAAAAAAGAAAAAAACATATTTAGATTAAATGAATTCTATATAATTTTCTAAATAGAATATTTAATACTTTTTTAATCCTAATATTATGGGTGATATTCCCCATTTTGTCACAATAAAAATAATAATAATAAAAATAATAATAAAAATAATAAAAATCATCATCACAATAAAAATAACTAATTAAAAATCGTGAAATATGTTGCAGTAATTACCAAAATAAAAGATCCACAATCTAAAAAAAGGGGGTTACTCAGACGTATGTTTTGCTTCGAGGTTCGGTTATTATAATAAATATGGTGTTAAAAAAAAATATCAGATTTTAAGAACTGTGTGAAAATTAATAATAACTAACGAATAAAATAGATAGAAAAGTTAATAATCAAATGCACAATTCAATAACTGTCGACAGTACAATCAAAACACTTTATGGATTTATATTATCGGTGTTAATTGTGATTTGCAAGCAAAAGTGATTATTTAAATTTTGCAAGTAGAAATTAATTAAATTTTGCAACTTTCTCATAATGAAAAATATTTAGTTTTTTGGCAAATTATATATATACACTAAGTACTACAGAAAGTTAATTCTGTTAAACATCATATTGAGTAATACATCTACTGGATATATTAATTTCAAAATTGAAATTATATTTGGTATGCCAAAATTAAATTTTTAATTTATTAAATAATGAACTAAAATCTTATAACACACTACAGGTTTAGTTACTGCTTGACAACAATTAAACTAATAACAATTTAAACTGAAGATTGAAATGCAAAAAAAAAAAAAAAAAAACGTTAGGTACTTAAACAGCTCCATAATTTTTTTATTATTATAAAAAAAATTTCTGTTAATTAAATTTAACTCTATAGGAAACTTTCAATGTACAGATATTAAATAATATATAGGAGTAAAAAATATTATTTCATGTAAAAGTACACATATGTATGGATAAAGAAATACTATTTAATTAAAATTCAATATTGTGAAGCAATCAGAATTTGAGATAGATGAACGTTTGGAGGTAATTTTTTTGAAATTAATGCTTTTCAGCTAAGCTAGACAATGAATTAGAATACATGAATTATACATTTAAAATAATAATAATGTCTAGAAAAATTTCGTGGATATTTCTACTACAAGAATCTGTTTAAAAAATATTTATGTAAGTTCATTAAATAATTTTTATCTACTTAATAAGTTACGACAACAATATCTAAAAAACTGGAAATTTTATTTATATTAAAAGTCTTTTCTACAGTTTTATGGCGAAGAAAAGCCTTCGTAGAGCACATAATGAAATCCGAGAAGAAATAAGCACATTTGCACGAATCCATACAAAAGTAAACAAACGGCAACAAACAACGATACTAGGACTTTTTTAAAAAAATTTACCTTTACCAAATTATCTTATTTTACCTTATTTAATCCTCAACAGACAAAATTATTTTTTTATTATTTATTTGACGGAATTTTTCTAATTGGAGATTATTTTATTAGACGGAAAAATTTAAAACGGTTTAATCTATAAAACGGTTAGTACATTTATATGTAACGACCAAATTCTACACGCTCCATTGTAGACCGCTCAAAGTTTGTTTATATTTCACGCTAGAGTAAGGGCATGCTTTGATCTGCACATCTAGTACTTCCGCTCAGCTTGTATCTTGCTAAGCAAATTCACTGATGTAAAAACAGATAATACAAAAAGAAATACTTCAACTGTTACTTCAAGTTATAATCGGAAACATCAAATAATATCATATGTGAAACGATTGGCATACGCAAATGAATATAATTTTATTCATTTCGCAAATGGATGAAAGTTTCATTTTTTGAATTTTGACACATTATACCAAATTCGAGTTGCGAAAAATTAAAAGCAGAAACAATTTGAAACAAGACCTAGATTTTTTGTATCGACCAGAATGTGTTCGAATAGTAGTATAAGTACGTACTTGGGTAAATTGAATTCCGTATTCAGTTAAGGCTGATTTCAATTTCGTAACTTCAAAAGTTACAGAAATTTTTATTTTTATTATGGTTCTATACACAAAGCATAAACAACTAAAATTAGTATGGGGATTTATATTTCATGAAATTAAAAATGCAAATATGAAACCTGAAAAGAAACCAAACCACATTGTCGTCACTATTATTGTTATTTGAAAAGTTTATAAACTATAGAATTTAGCAACAAGAAGAAAGAATTTCTAAAAATTCAATCAATTGAAAAATGCTAATTTTGAAATAGAATTATAATAGCATACTAATAAAAGAAAAAAATTGCCACAGGTATCCTTAATTGTTTTATTATTAATTTAATGTAATTTGCGAGTAAATTGATGTATGTTTTGAAGTCAGACTACAACTAAAGCTTCTTGGCACGCATTTGGTCAACTAGCCATTTAAATTTTGATAATACAATTATGGTTTTAAAATAGCGCTATCATAAAAAGGAGTTCTCCTTTTTGTAAAAAAAAATGTAAATTAAAAGGAATTATAGACAATTAATTATTACTGTTAGCTATCATTTTTATTTAGTGAAAACCGCCAATAGTATTTACTTTATGAACATGAATTTGCGCAAAACTAAAAAATGGCAGAAGATTATTATTTTAACTTTTTATAAATCAGTTTTTATTATTTTTATTTGAACGAAATTTTGTTTTTCTTAATTTTTGCAAATGTTTATCAGCTTCGGCTTCCCATTTTGATTCTTGTCTCCCCTTCCCTTGTTGTTTTTCCTTTGAAAAATTTGATTACAAATTTTTTCAGTCACGAAAATCGCCATTATATATAATGGCCAGTCAAAACCCGCTATAGTGAACACGGTTTACATTGAACTCCCGGATATAGTGAACGTAATGTTCGGTCCCGTGCCTTTCTATACACGTATAATGTTATTTTTTGTGGATATAGTGAACTAAAAAAGTGAGGAAATTGGATATTATGAACTTTTTCTGTCTTCGACTGATTTTTCTTCATTTTTTTTAATAATTTTGAAATGTCTACTTCAAAATAAATACTTGTACTAATTTTTAAAACCATCTATAGTGTGGAATGTAGCGATAAGCATTTTTTCTTGTTCGCTTCTTTTATCTCACTTTTCCATCCCTAAACAAAGGCCTACGCAGGCAGATGTATGGACAAATTTTTCCCTGCATCAGCTAAAGATTACTAATTTTTTCTTCTTCTTTTTTTTTGTACACAAGACGAAGAGTAATAAAAAATAAAAACAATTCAACAAATTTTTTATTACTACGTATTATTTATCAGTCATTTTTGTATTTCATTTTATTGATCATTTATTTAAGAGATGAATAATAAAAAGAAGGAGTTCGGAACCATTAATTAAAATTGTTTGCGGAACGAATATAGTGCACTCCCGGTTATAGTGAACTGAAATTTCGGTCTCTTGAAGGTTCACTATAGCGGGTTTGACTGTAGCACATTTGTGAAGTTTATCGAAATAAAACTAATACGCAAGTAGCAAAATGGGATATTTTTAGTTACATGATAAATTTTGATGGACATTTAGAGCGAAAAAGAATATCGAATGCATTTATGACATTATTGCAAGTAATCCATATATAACGGGATTTAATAAAGAGCTGATTTAGCTTCTTAAGAATTACTGATGCATTAAAAGACCGAAATAATTTATAATTGCTGAAAAAGCTTAAGAAATTTTTTTATTTATTTATTCGTAAATAACGATAAATATCACGAGATTAAATTTGCTTTTTCTTCTTATAAAAACAAACATACTGTTAGTTGAACTTTATGCAGATTTTGCTGCTGGTTTTGTATGCAGTTGTGGTGATTAGATTAAATAATATTAAATAAATTGATTCAATAAAATTAATAATCACAACAGTTTAATAATAATTAAAAAAAAAAAGAAATCATATTAAGTTACAATGTAAAAGACAGACATGATTAACGACAGCGGCATTTTTAAAAGAGGTGAATGTTCACCGGTCAGCAAACCCGAATGAATATTTATATTGAGCTGCTGCCAGATTCTGGAAACTAAAGTTTGAACACAAGAGATGTTGCCATCTCATAAAAAGGTTGAGGGAAATGTATTGCACTGCCACCTGGCGAGCAGAGTTCATCGCCATCTGGTGAGAAGGTGGTTCACCACACAGTCATTTTTTCAAAACAAAATATAGCTAGGGAAAATAAATATCAAAGCTAGTAATGGAAAACTTAGAGGTATGATTAGTGACCTCTTTGGTTGGTAGGCAAGCGTACTAATCCCTGAGACACCAGGGCCACGCATTTTTACATGAAAAAATACAAATTTGAACGAAATCGTCAATAGTTCCTGAGAAATAGAATTTTGAAAAAAGTAGTGTATTTAAATTTTGATTTTTAAAAAACTTTTCCACCGATTTCGCTCAAATTTTCTACTTTGCCATTTAAAACTGAATTCTTTAAAATTACTTAAAAATTGTTGACTTATGATCCGAAATTTTTCTACTTAAATAAAATAATGAAAAATAATAAATATATTTACTAAAAGTTATATTTTGCGTAGACTTATCTTTGGATAAACGAATTTTATAATTGTGTGCAACAATTTTTCACTTCAATTAAAAAGTTCTCAAGAAATGTAAAAGTAAAATTAACATTAAGGGGTCCAAACTTTGAACCATTCTCCTGACCTAACTATTGGGACTATATTTACCAAGTACTCCCTATATTTTGAAGTTCAGAAATCGGAATCCGTCCAAAAAAGGTATGTTTATTCAGAGAAAGTACGATTTTGTGTCTGATTTCGTAACTTATAATGTCGCTTACTCTAATTAATTAGCATATTTGAAGGCAAACCTCAAACCAATAAGATTGAATCCAAGAACATGAAGATCCAATCATTAGATCAAAAGTTATACAAAATACATAGAAAACAATACTTCATTTGTCTATGTAGCAGTGAAAGATGTGTCAATATGTGCATATACAAAACTGTACTTTTTGTGTACAAAATGCTTTTATACTATTAGTCTGATAGTCTCGGAATTAGTTTCATTCAATGAGGAACCTATGTAGTTTATTTTATTTTTCAAACGAAACTCCATACCATTTATAACGATAGGCACCAAGTTCAGCTCAGTGGGTTTTCTTGTTATTAATGTTTAAAATCGCCCAATGGGATACCTGCTAGTGACGTAGTGTGGGTATCTCGATCTTGATTGGTTGTTGAAACGTAGCATCTCTAAACGTTAGCAACTGTTCTTTCCATTCTATTTCAAGTAAGTCAAACCCGTCATGCATGAATTCTCTTAAGGGACACATTCTAAATTCTTTCACAAAGATTTTTTTCTGAAAGATTTCAATTCTTTCACTATATAGTCAAAAATTAATTTACTTCAAAAGTTATTGAAAAAAATACAAATTAGGAAAGTAGTTTCAAACTTTTTTTTAAACATTTATCAACTTATTTTATTGTTTCAATGGCATATATACTTCAAGTTGGTGAGCTAATATCACCAGCAACTCTTAACTATGCATATTTATCCATTTTGTTAAAATTAAAATTGAATTGTTAGTATTGAAAGTTTTGATTTTCTTAATGGTTGATTGGATTCCTTATTTGGTTGGATACCTGAGGTCGCTGCTCTCTTCTCTCCCTGCCACTGAATTCCACTGACTTCACATCCAACTGAATTACAAAATCTTCTGCTTTTTCATTGACACTACAGCCTATGCGGGTTTTCCCCCTGTTCAACTTCAAATCCGTCTCTACACAGTTCACCAGCATCGTAGCCGGTCTGCCTCTTTTTCTTGTACCCTCTATCTTTGAAAAAGTAAATTTTTTTGGCTGAATTTATATTTTTGCATCGAAGCATGCTTCAGAACCTGCAGGACTTAATAATTCTTAAAAAGAATCGCCAAATCTACAATTCTCAAACACCAATTCCCAGAGCCGACTTGGCGAGATTTTTAAACATAAAGTCTCAAATCCTAATTCCAGAATCTCAATTTCACAAATCCCAGCTTTCAAATCGCACTTTCTTCAATTCCAATTTTAAAATCCCTATTTTCAAATCCCAACTCCTGAATTCCAATCCAGAAATCCAATCAAGTAAAAAATCAAAAGTTATCACTTAATTTATCGATCACACCGCTAATTGAATCTCCAATCTGTATCACGAAAAAAAGGAAAAAAAAAAAAAAAAAAAAAAAAAAAAAAAAAAAAAAAAAAAAAAAAACTATTAAAAGTATTTATTTTCCCCAAACTCCGAATATTAATAAAATTAATCCATAATATTAATCCCAAAAGATTAAATATTTTTGCATCATCTGTAATTCAATCGCTTGTGTATCACCTGCGAAAAAAACTATTAAAAATACTTATTTTCACCAAACTCCTTTTCACAATATTAATCCCAAAAGATTAAATATTTTTGCATCATCTGTAATTCAATCGCTTGTGTATCACCTGCGAAAAAAACTATTAAAAATACTTATTTTCACCAAACTCCTTTTCACAATATTAATCCCAAAAGATTAAATATTTTTGCATCATCTGTAATTCAATCGCTTGTGTATCACCTGCGAAAAAAACTATTAAAAATACTTATTTTCACCAAACTCCTTTTCACA